GTGTTATCGCCTGCAAAGCCTTCAATACTATAACTTGTCAACTTTGGAACATAGCAATGCGATTGGCTTACAGCAAGCTACTTACTGAGTTTGTGCATGTGATGCTGGCTGAGAAGTTCCGATGGCCGTTCAGACTTGGCTCAGTAGGGCAGTTGCACCAGCTTCAATTGATCCAGCTACACAATGGTACGGCTTCGTTACCTAGACCTTACCTAAGCTGTTAGAGACATTGTGGGGAACGAAATCTGCGTGGAATTTCTTACCTTAGCCTCTGGCGAAACCTGGCTACTGTCCTGCGTTTCACGTGATCGGTGTATATTATCGAGGAACTAAAGGTATTCCAAGAGAATAAAGTGAGGGACTCGAGAAGAAGAATGGCCTCATATTTATGTTGTCCTTTCTGTTAGTTTTGCCTTCACCTCTAAACCAAATCAGGAGAAATGCTTGAGCCACCGTTTTCCCTTGCGCATGGACGTCAACAGTAGGCTATATCGCTACGCTAAATAGAAGGTCTAAAAATGAACTTTGTCTGCAAACCTCCTCAGGTGCATTCAAGTTGTTGACCTTGTTATACCCACAGTGTGCTATGCTGTGTGCTATGTATCTGGAAGCTAGTCACCTCACCACTCTCACCAGTCTCACCAGTCTCACCACTCACCACTCTCACCACTCACCACTCTCACCACTCACCACTCTCACCACTCACCACTCTCACCACTCACCACTCACCACTCTCACCACTCACCACTCACCACTCTCACCACTCTCACCACTCACCACTCTCACCACTCACCACTCTCACCACTCACCACTCTCACCACTCACCACTCTCACCACTCACCACTCTCACCACTCACTCCTCTCACCCTCTCATGTTGCCATGCTCTCGTATGGGCTCTTAACTCCCTGGTGGATTTTATCGTCCCATTTGTTTGCTTCTGTTGTGCATCAAAGCGCGATAGCTTGGGAAGTCGAGTTAGCCACTACTAGAGTACAATCAGGTAAATCTTTCCGTATAGGAATAGCAGACTGATATCAAATGTAAGAATGTATTACCTCCCATTGGCCAAGGTTCTCATTTTCGTCATCGTAGTTTTCATAACTAGCGGCTACGTAAAGTTCGTCATGGAGTAGGGGTATTGATATACAGTAAAGATAAGATCAAACGCCTAGGGACTTTTAGGAGACATGAGTTACGCACGATCATTTCTCCCTGGCCGCTTTGTTTTGATTCTCAACCTGCCAAGAGAAATTAAAAGGAAAAACAAAGAGTGCCAATTTGGAACAAAAGAAGGCTATCTATCGGTCTAACATCTATCAATCTATTTATCAATCTATTGCAAATTCAAACCCCCAATTTAACGTTCACAGCCAAGACGAAAAAAGGCCTTAATGGGCAGCGACTGCTGCTCCTGGTCGTTGGCCAATTGGAGTATTGACTGAGCCTTGGGATTGCATATTCTGGGCAATTGTGTCCTGGTACAGGTCATACATGGCTTTCGCCACCGTAAGGCGTCTTTCTCTCTGCATATCATCCAGATCATCCCATCCCTCCGCTTTCTCCCTTTCTGCAATGAATTCCGCTTCCGTGAGTATGGCTCTTTGGCCAATTGCGAGGTTGGACTTGTTCTGCACGGCGTTGGTGTTCGAGTTCAAAGCAGCGCCGGAGGAAACCGGATTGTGAGGTGCCTCATCTCCGTCAAGGTTGATTGGGTTGGCTGGCGACCCAGTTCCCGGATGCAAATTCGCAGTGGAGGAAGGGGGCACTTCATGTTGGCCTGCAGATGAGTGTTGGATTGCAGGTGAATTGAGACGTCGTGCAGGCTGTCGCTCTGGTGATTGTCTCGCTGCTGAGCCCAATGGGCAAGGAGTGGGAGACCGATCCTCATTGCCTCTTCCAGCGTCGCTCTGGAGCACGCGCAGATAGCGTTCTTCTTGTTTCTCCCAGACCTCTTTGATTTTTGCGTCTGCTGCGCGCTTGCCATTGCAGAAGCGAGTGAAATCGGATCTTGGAATCCAAGAACAAGAATTTTGCATGTTGTCGGTATCCTCTGACTTCAGGTCCTTCCATTTAATCTTCAGCCAAGAACATGGATCAGACTTGTATTCTTTATCCGAATTCTTTCTTTCTTCCGAGGCAATCCCGTAGATCCCGACAACATTGTGTTTGGTATACCGCCAGACTTTGCTCCGTGGGCTAGCTTTGATCTGTGAAATCCGCAACTCTCGTTGAGAAATGTTGTTCATGTCATCATTGGTATATCCATTCCTGTATTTGAATTTGTATCTGGCTCCATGACGAGGCCCATACTGGAGGATGACGAATGTTGATCCTCGCAGGGTTCCCCATCCATCCACAACCGCGTCGGTTTCCTCGTCATCTTCTGACGGATCAAGGCTGGCTAAAAGCTCTGGGTCTCTGGGCTCGCTAGCACCTCGTGCTTCCGGTGACAGATCGGTTCGATTTTGTCGATGACCGGCCATAGAGGAGCGTTCATTAATATTCGAGCTTGACCCCTCTGCAGCCTGGTGTACCGAGCCAGCGTCATGCATCGGGGTGTCATCTCTCTCGATAGACTGTACCACTGAGCTATGCGATGGCAATGGGGCATTGGCTTGGTCGGCTGGATCAATGTTGTTAGGCTGGTCGCTATCGTGTATTTCTGACGGTTTGTCGGCTGGACGAGGCCCTTCCGAGAGATCCACCTGTTCAGCTGCGCTTTTGATCTTTGCAGAAGATATCGCGTTTCTTTCAGCTAGTTCTTGCATTTCAACAAGCTTGGAATGGTTGTCCTTGGCGAGAGAGCTTTTCTTTACTCCACTGTTGGAGGCCATATTGAGAGAACAGACCTGATCTTTTCCGTGAAAAGCAAGGAAAGCAATTTACGCGGTTGATGGCAGGTATTTATGCATTTCAGATACCAAGTCAGACCGTAGTCACGACATAGGGCCGGGATATTGATTGTGAAGTACAAGTAAATGCGTCGGCCTCTGATTTTAAATTTTTTGGCATTATGAAAAGCGCAACTGAGCATGAATTTGCGTTCTAGCTCGTTAAGTTCCTGCCTTAGAATAAAGAGGCTGGATGGTACACGCTTTATGCGTCTCTGGTGAGGTCTAAAGCTCAGGCTTTAAGTATGATCGCTTCTTCTAGCTGGAGGCAACCTCCTCGAAGTTCACTTTTGGAGCCGCTCCTCTTTCAAGCATTGAATCAAGCCAGCATGTTTGTGAGCAAGATTGAGCAATCAACGTATGAAATTTTTAGCATCCTTGTTCCTCGTGTGAATGTCATTTGCGGCGACTTTCAGTAAGCTGTTGCTCGACGAACCCAATTGTGCTGACCTCGAGGACTCATTTATTGATTATGTTAGATAGGTTCCAAATTGAGCAATTGAATCAAGAGAAACGAACGGTTTGCAAAATGCAAAGTTTACCTGTGTTTTTTGGCCTGCAAGTGGTTAGACTCATACAGAACCAGGTGCGCATTTGGTTTCTGAAATGCCCTCTTTTACTATTACTAACTTGACTCGGAACTTCATCCAACCTCATATAAATGCGCTTTGCTCCTGAGTAAGAGTGGCATTATAGAGTGCCATTTAGTCGACATTCAATTTACTGCTCATTTAGAGCTTCGGAACGAAGCCCTCTTTTTCGTTAAACATGCAATTTTACGCCAGTTGCCCTTAGACTAATGTTGCTTCATGACTTCAAGACAGAACTATATGCTGAATACTGTATTGGGATTGGAAAGCTAAACAAGACTTAATTCTGCGTGACATTGTAAACGACTGAGATATCAGGAAATATATAAAAGTCCACATGCAGATTCAGACTGGAATTTCACGACTTGACTCCAGAAGCAAAAGGGCTTCTGCAGTACCAAAATCAGGGGTACGACTAACATGAAGGATAAAGGGAAAGAGCAATCCTATTTCCATAGCGATAGAGATGCCCTTCATAGCCCTAAAAGCTCTGAGATCACGTATCAGACGTGATCGAGGCTCGCGAACGTCGGATATCCTCATCTTCCTTTCTGATCCGCTCCAATTTGTAGAATTTGTAAAGCGCGAGAAGTGCTGAGCAGATCAGAAGAGTTGCTCCAGTAACAGCAGTTGTTATAATAGCCATTACCGACCAATTCCCACCTTGCGACGTACAGACGTTGATGACAGTGGTCAGCAGTCCGGCAACAGCATGCAGGCATAGGGGACTAGTTCAGCGTTAAATTGGGATCTGGCTTCTCAAACCTCTCAAGTGGGATTTGCTCACTTACACAAACACTTTGTTAATCAGCCAGGGGTAGTTTCCCCTGAGCTTTGGGACGTGCATCAGCCACATGAGAGCTGCAGTGCCACTAACAAAAAGGAAGCACGCAATAGCGAGTAACGGGGGGTTCTGGATCATATGTAGAGCGGTCCGACCGGCCTTGTTGGTTTGCAACGTCTTTTCAACCTGGCTCGAGGTCTGCAGTGATGTGAACGTGCCGGGAATGACTAGATAGCCGGCAAGCAGCGCCCAGTTAGCCACACCAACCGTGATGCTGAAACGCATATCCATTTGTGCTTCTTCCCTGAGCATTCTGGCATACGTAGTTTCGTTGGCGTGGTGGATCTGGTTGGCTCTACACAGCCCCGTAGTTTCACTCGAAGCTGAGCGCGATGGAAGAAGCGCGGGCTTCAATCCAAGAAGGGGAATCCTTTTCGATCCTATCTTAGCTGGCATACTTGTATGGCTGCCCGCAATGGACGCCATGACCGAGAAAGTTAAGAGCTAATATGAAGAGAGCAAGTTCGACAAGGGACTTTGTGAGCACTTTGTATGGTCGGTAGTGACAGCTTGCTACAGCTAGATCGACAGCTTCTACTGTGGGAAAGGTCGCATTTTTCACTTGCGGTGAGTCTTGCGTGGTCTGGTTTTCAAAGTCAAAAAACGAATGGCTTCTGACAGAGCACGAAGCTTGCTTCGTATTCGATTTAAGCGGCTATCATCTGCAAATTCACTGTCAGGAGAAATTTGGTGCTTGACACGTTTTCTGTTCAGATCGGATTCTGAGGCGGGACAAGAAATTCCAACTTTAATCTGAGTGTCAAACCACCCTTGAACCGCTGCTTGTCACTTTCAGATAAGAGCCGTATATAAAGTCCCCAGTAGACTCTTTTT